CAGACAGACCCGGGCTGAGAGGGATACAACATCCCAGCAGACAGACCCGGGCTGAGAGGGATACAACATCCCAGCAGACAGACCCGGGCTGAGAGGGATACAACATCCCAGCAGACAGACCGAGATATTCAGTTAGAAATTTCCCCTCACAAACTCACTTTCACGCGTGCGACAGCGAAGCACCGCACCCCTACACCACAGACGCCCATATGGAATGTCTTTTCAAGTTTTCACAAGAACAAAAAAAAAAAAAAGTTAAAAGAGACTTAAGTCATTGCGTTATGACTGTGACTTACATCCATACATTGACCAGTCAGTCAGTAGTCAGTCAGCCAATGACATACACATACATTCACTTACCCGTCAGTCAGCCAATGACATACATACATTCACTTACCCATCAGTCAGCCAATGACATACATACATTCACTTACCCATCAGTCAGCCAATGACATTCATCCATTAATACAATAACCGGTCAGTTAGCAACATACGTGGATTCACTGACCCGTCAGTCAGCCAATGACATACATACATTCACTGACCCGTCAGTCAGCCAATGACATTCATCCATTCACTTACCCATCAGTCAGCCAATGACATTCATCCATTAATACATTAACTGGTCAGTTAGCGACATACGTGGATTCACTGACCCGTCAGTCAGCCAACGACATTCATCCATTAATACAATAACCGGTCAGTTAGCGACATACGTGGATTCACTGACCCATCAGTCAGCCAATGACATTCATCCATTAATACAATAACCGGTCAGTTAGCAACATACGTGGATTCACTGACCCGTCAGTCAGCCAATGACATACATACATTCACTGACCCGTCAGTCAGCCAATGACATTCATCCATTCACTTACCCATCAGTCAGCCAATGACATTCATCCATTAATACATTAACTGGTCAGTTAGCGACATACGTGGATTCACTGACCCGTCAGTCAGCCAACGACATTCATCCATTAATACAATAACCGGTCAGTTAGCGACATACGTGGATTCACTGACCCATCAGTCAGCCAATGACATTCATCCATTAATACAATAACCGGTCAGTTAGTGACATACGTGGATTCACTGACCCATCAGTCAGCCAATGACATTCATCCATTAATACAATAACCGGTCAGTTAGTGACATACGTGGATTCACTGACCCGTCAGTCAGCCAATGACATTCATCCATTAATACAATAACTGGTCAGTCAGCGACATACGTGGATTCACTGACCCGTCAGTCAGCCAATGACATTCATCCATTAATACAATAACCGGTCAGTCAGCGACATACATACATTCACTTACCCATCAGTCAGCCAATGACATACATACATCCACTGACCCGTCAGTCAGCGACATACGTGGATTCACTGACCCATCAGTCAGCCAATGACATTCATCCATTAATACAATAACCGGTCAGTTAGCAACATACGTGGATTCACTGACCCGTCAGTCAGCCAATGACATACATACATTCACTGACCCGTCAGTCAGCCAATGACATTCATCCATTCACTTACCCATCAGTCAGCCAATGACATTCATCCATTAATACATTAACTGGTCAGTTAGCGACATACGTGGATTCACTGACCCGTCAGTCAGCCAACGACATTCATCCATTAATACAATAACCGGTCAGTTAGCGACATACGTGGATTCACTGACCCATCAGTCAGCCAATAACATACATACATTAATACAATAACTGGTCAGTTAGCGACATACGTGGATTCACTGACCCATCAGTCAGCCAATGACATACATACATTCACTGACCCATCAGTCAGCGACATACGTGGATTCACTGACCCGTCAGTTAGCGACATACGTGGAATTCACTGACCCGTCAGTTGGCGACATACATACATTCACTGACCCGTCAGTCAGCGACATACGTGGATTCACTGACCCAGGCAAAGAGTAGTAGAAGAACAACAAACAGGAACGACCTTGACATTGCACATTTACCGAGACCTGCCCATGGGACGCCCACACGTCTGGGAATACACGACCCTGTGGCGTGACACGCCTTTATCTGAGGAGGAAGTCCCGGGGCGTGTCGCACACAGTGTGTCGCGACACGACACGCAGGAACCAGGTGCTTGACACAGCACGGTCACGTGTAGATGTTGGCATTGTCTTACAGTTTGTTTGTCTTGCTTTTATTGGACCCCCCAATAGGAGTCGACATATTGCACATGGTGTGTGGACCAGCTCCAGAAACACAACCGGGAGTCGGGTGGTTGGCGGGTGCTCCCCTGTGGTCAGCTCCTTCTTTCCTATCAAACATCTCTCACTCTTACCTCTCCCTTCTTTTCTCTCTACGTTACTCTCTTGTTACAACTCTACTAAACTTCCGCACTTGTTGCACCTATTCGCATAGCACGTGCCGTAAAACTTGCAACAAAAACCCCAAAAAACCCAACAGGGACAGGCCCTGAGGAAGAGAAAAAGCACTTGAGGGAGCGAACCCTAACCCTTCCCCCACACTCTGAACTGACCTAAGCAGTTTGTTCATTTCCCCCGACCCGTACTGTTTATTTTTGAGTAACGGAAAACACACCGACCCACCCATGGACCCACCAACTGACCCATCCACTAACCTGCCAAATGACCCTCCCACCGACCTACCAACTAACCCACCCATGGACCCACCCACTAACCTGCCAAATGACCCACCCACCGACCTACCAACTAACCCACCCACGGACCCACCCACTAACCTGCCAAATGACCCACCCACTGACCCACCAACCACCCCACATCAACAATTTTCTCAAATTCCTCCAACAAAAAAACACTTTTGTGGGGAAAAAATAGCCAGGGAATCTGCAGACCCCGGTACATTCAGACTGTGTCGTAAAACATGCCTGGGAAATTAACATACAAAATGTAATGCGAATACATGGAAGTAAAAATGTGTAATGTGAATACATGGAAGTAAAAATGTGTAATGCGAATACATGGAAGTAAAAATGTGTAATGCGAATACATGGAAGTAAAAATGTGTACTTTCACATCAGTGACAATAAGTCGCGCGTGCACTGTTGAGAATCAACTCATGTAAAAATGTGCACTTTCACATCAGTGACAATAATTTCACACTATTAATAATAATGATAAAAAGCCACAAATATATATATGACCTACGGAACTCACAAAGATGGGATTTCACAAACATCCAATAGGAATTCTTCAAAAGGAAAAAAACTTGGAGAATGACGGTATATCAGAGACCTTGGCATGTCTGTAACTACATCAAAACTCTGGAGGAACTCATTTTTTTCAAGAAGTAAGATTTTTACTCCCCGATCGACACAATTTAGGTCATTGATAAAGCCAGGTTCTGACCTTGCCTGTCAGGGCCAACCCAGGCACAGAGTCGCAGACACTCCATAAAAATTCTCCCCACTTCAGAATCGAACTTACATCTTCCACAAGGGCCTATCTGCCACATCACAGACATCAGAACCATCACATTGACCACAATTGCACTCATGCACGCAAACCCCCCACACACACGTTTGTGTGAGAGAGGTGAACACATCACACAATAATGGTCATTTCCTACAAGTGTTCAAGCCCACACTGACACAAACAACACAAACCCACAGACATTTGCAAACTGAAATTCATCATCACAAAATTCAAGACGTTTTTCTCTCAACAAGAAACAAATCACAAAAGTCTGGACATGACATCTGTCAACCTCTCCCAGACAAGACCCCCC